ACACACATACTCACACACACACACACACACACACACACACTCGCACACAGACAGACAAACACACACAGACATACTTTTTCTTCCCGTCATTCTGGTACAGGTTGATCGTAATTTCAGCCGTCCAAAGAATACTTTTGTTTTGGGGATATATTAAAGAAGGGGGTACAATTGTGATGAGAATACCCTCAAATTAAAGCTCAGAATGTGCACTTTAAGCACATATTCATTATATAACTGTAGCTTGAATATGTTTTGGTCAACAGCTAAAATAGTAAAAATTGTGCCTGTGTCCAAATAATATATGGACCTGATTATATGCTCTAATAGTTTTGCAAAACAACTTTCATTCACTGTTACGTCCTCCTTTGTTACATTTTATTTATTGATTCACTTTTTTTTGTAATGTTTACTTAAAATGTAATAACTGGACCTAAAACGTCTCTGATGATGTATGCTGGACGTCTCCAATCGTTTAGTCTGCTTAAATCCCGCCCCTTTCTTACAATTGACTGCAAGCTCACGTTCATTTTTTGAGTGCCACGCCCACATCTCAACATCCAATCAACAACTGATGCACTGAACCAAGTACCTGCCATACATTTTTGTTTTTCAATAATACATTACACGCGGATGTACGAAGAAACAAATCTGTCACTATTTCCATTTTATTGTGACTTTAACAAAATGGGTACGCCAAACATGACCTAAGTTTTGCCGACATATTTTTAAGTTCAAAATTTGCTGCACAGACACATAATCAAAACGTTTCTGTTATAACTACATGTAGTGACTATACAAAAACAAACAACCAAAAACATTTCTTCAGAAGACGACTTTTAAATCTTATCGTTTCATTCATATTTTAGTTTATGATAAGCTACAATAAAGGCTCTGTGTTTTTTTGCCTGACTCTTTGCTGTCTTTTAAAGTGTATATTTTTGGCAAATTGCATGGAAACCAATGGTGCTCAATTTGACACCAAATTTTCGTGGGCATTTCAGGGGAAATTTGCGTTAGGGCGGAATATTTTCCAATGCAGATTTTGCAATAGGTTCAAGCTGATCATGTGGATTTACCGCACTGACCAATAGAAAGCTGCTTGTTTGGAAAGTGACTTCTGTTTGAAATGGGATTTATACATTGCTATACTATTGACAATAGTTAATGCACCTTTTTTTGCTTGCAAAATTTCGCTAATGTGACAGACCTTAAAATCGTAGTCACCAAAATTTGTACAGCCTTTCCAAAACATATTTGTCAAAACTTCCCATGCACAATCATGATCCTAAGTGAGGAGAGTGTAAGAAGAAATAGTTGTTAGCCAGTGTTTCAAGCAAGTGGAATTTGGGTCAAATTGACCCGCAACACAATAGGAGGGTAATGAAGAGTGTCTGTTTGTTGCAGCTCGGTGCTGGAGTGAGTTTGCCTGGTGTGGTGGCTGCCAAGTGTGGAGCTCGTGTGATTTTGTCAGACAGTGCTGAGCTCCCCCTCTGCCTGAGGAACTGCTGGCGCTCCTGTGACGTCAACCACCTCCCCAACGTACCTGTGATCGGACTCACCTGGGGACAGGTATCACCAGAGCTCCTCTTGCTGCCACCTGTGGATGTTATCTTGGGATCAGATGTATTCTATGAACCTGAGGGTGAGTGTTTTTTCCCTTGTTTTATCTTCTTTATCTTACACAGGTTTCTAAGCATTGAACAAAACACTGCTTTGAACAGATTTTGAAGATGTGCTTGTGACCGTCTCCTTTATTGTGAGGAGAAACCCTCATGCTCAGCTCTGGACTACCTACCAGGAGAGAAGGTGATGTAACAAACATGCATTACTGACTATCATTTACCTTCCATAAACGTTTGAAATCCCACACTTTCTATGACATTTGTAGTTGTGTGTGATTCTTGGATAAGGATTTTAAAATAAAGTTTGATTGAGATTACACTCACAAGAACAGTTTGTAGCTTGTGAAATATGGCTTAATATTTTTTGGAACCTGTAATACTTTTTTTGAGGATTTTGATGAATCCCGAATAAAGTATCAGTTTCAAAATTTTTTAATATATATATATATATATATATATATATATAATATAGCAGCACAACTGTTTCAATACTAGTAACTAGTT